GGAGCCCGATGCGGGACTCGATCCTGGGACTCCAGGATCATGACCTGAGCCGAAGGCAGTCGCTTAACCAACTGAGCCACCCAGGCGCCCTGTGCATTTGGTTTTTATCGGCAGGGCTGAATAAGTGGTGACCATAAAATGCGTTCTACTGTGGTCTTAGATCATCATTTCCTCTCTGTTGTATTTATAATGTGCTCAAAGTGTAGCGTATTTTCTGAAAGTTTTATCAAAACTGGATTCATAGAGAACATACTGTGTTCCCAGGCAAAAAAACAAAACAAAACAACTAACCAAGCCTCCTCCTCTTGCTATTTCATTTACTATGGGCTCCCTCCTTTCTTTTAGCACGACCGTATCTCTTCATCCCCTAGCCTTCTTGGCCCACTTACGGGCATGAGCTGTGGTGTGTTGGGGATCAGCCACCAGCTACAGACCATATTCTCTCTGCTGACTGGTGGATGAAAGGCAGAGGGAGGAGGTTGTGTAATTGTAAGAAGGTGTCATCTTTCATCTCTTCTTGCAGCCCCATAGCTGATTGAATGTTGCCCCTGTTTGCTGGAACATTCTTTCCTCTGATAAGGAAGAATGAGTATAGAACAAGGCATCATGTCTCCTCCAAGCCCTTGGAGGCACTGCTCGATAAGGAAGAATCAGGGTTCTTATATTAACATACCTTCTATGTTATAGATTGAAGGAAGTTCATTTTGACTTCTGTCATCTCAAATCAAAATACTCTTTAAAAATATAAAAAACTGTGTCAAAATTGAAATCCAGAATTTGGATGTAATATTGTAGAATCAATTATGAGCGCTCCTCATTATTTACATAAATAGTCTTCCAGTGAAATCTTAAGACTCATTTTTGCGTTAGTGGTAGCTAAAGGAATTAGTCTTTCTGGACCCTGGTTAAGCTAGCTTTGAGTAGGAAGTTCTGTGTTAATATCAAGTGCCCTTTGGCAATCCCCTTTAAAAAATAAACACCCGTAGTTTTGTTTCCATTCCTCTGACATTTTCTTTGGAAGCTTGCTTTCCTGTTTAAAGAATTCCTTAAGTCCACACCGAGTTTTATATGGGAAAGGAAATAGAATGTCAGGAAAGCTCTACAGAGCCCTAGAAAGAAACGTGGAAAATGAAACTCATGCTCAGTTCCGAGTGCTCACTGTGGTGGTGGCAGAGACACACGTGCCCCAAAGCCAGTTGGGCGGGTGTCTCCTGGGAGCCTCTGAGTGCTCACCGTGGTGTCCGTGCACAGCTCAGACCCACTGCGCATGAAAGCCAAGGAGGGGATTCCCCCCATCCCCTCCTGCCCAGAGCCTCTAGCCTGGAAATAGCTTTCTCTGCTCTGAGAATTCAGCCCAGGGCAGAAGCAGCGGGACTGTGGTTGGAATGCAGGTGAAACAGGCCAGCATTTTATGGTAATTTGAAAACGTTAGATATTAAAGCTACTCACATTTATATGCGAGTCTTTGGGGAGTGAGAGAGTAAAGATGTCTAATTAGCTCATGGTTGGCCTCTATTTTTTTCTCTAGTCTTCTGTGCCTTTGTCCTCTTCAGAGTCATTGAGAATGTAATGTTCTTTCATTTGTTTACCTTGAAAGCATAATCTCCTCCTGAAGGTTGTGTGTTCTCACTAGAAGGTAATAAAATTGATGTTGACTACTTAAATATTTAGCACAAGTTTCAAATGAAGAACAACAGATGGCTCTAATCAAATTTTGATATACTTAGATTTCAGGAATTATCTGATGGTGAAATGCCATTGTTTTTTATTGCTCTTCCCGCTTCTTGTTGGATTTTGTGGGTTTCAGTGGTTTTTATTTTGTTTTATGAATGCGAGCAAAGATACAGGTTACCCTGGAACAGGAATCCTTTGGGGCCCAGGAACTGTGTCTTTGAAGGGACCTGGGGGACACTTGATTGAGATTTTTGTTTGTTTCTTAGCTTATTTGGAAATCGGTTTTCAAGTCAGGCTTGAAATTAGCAGTCTCAATTAGATGCAATCTAATTCATGGTTGTCCATAGTTATCACTGTAGTGATCTAACGAAGGTACATGCCTGTGGTTCTAAACAGTCAAAAGGAATTTGTGGACATCGTGTTTAAGACGGGGCACTGAGTATTTACCCCAAAGACACAGATGTAGTGAAAAGAAGGGCCATATGCACCCCAATGTTCCTAAGAGCAATGTCTGCAATAGCCAAACTGTGGAAAGAGCCGAGATGCCCTTCAACAGACGAATGGGTAAAGAAGATGTGGTCCATATACACAATGGAATATTACTCAGCCATCAGAAAGGGTGAATACCCAACTTTTACATCAACATGGATGGGACTGGAGGAGATTAGTAAAACAAGTCAAGCAGAGAAAGTCAATTATCATAGGGTTTCGTTTATTTGTGGAAAATAAGGAATAGCATGGAGGACATTAGGAGAAGGAAGGGAAAAATGAAGGGGGGGGGCGGAATCCGAGGGGGAGACAAACCATGAGAGACTACAGACTCCGAGAAACAAACTGAGGGTTTTAGAGGTGGGGGGGGATGGGTTAGCCCGGTGATGGGTATTAAGGAGGGCACGTACTGCATGGAGCACTGGGTGTTATACGAAAACAATGAAGCGTGGATCACTACATCAAAAACTAATGATGTATTCTATGGTGACTAACATAACATCATAAAATAAAATTTAAAAAATAAATAAATAAAAATAAAACAGGGCCTTGAAATTTTCAGTGGTATGAATGATGGCTCAGTTCTCAATTATATTATTTGCCATGGAGTTGTATTACTCTCAAAGACCCTAAATAAGTCTGTGGCATTTTTCTGCTCTGCCACATCCCTTTTCCCTTTTAGGAATTGATACTAAATGTTTGCACTGAGTCTTCCTTCGACCAGTAGTTCGGACGAGGTGGTCTTTCAGTTCTGTCATTGCCTTTGGTCAGGTCAGAGAAATTTATCTGCTTCAGCTAAAATGAACTGTTTGTCAGAATTGTGAAGCAATGATGGGTGTGTCTAAAAATATTGTCAGCCTAGTGTGGTCTAGGGTTTGTTTTTTTGTTTTTGTTTTTGTTTTCAGATAGAAGATATCTGTTGGATTTTAAACTCTGTTTACGGGGGCACCTGGCTGGCTTAGTCAGTGGAGCATACAACTCTTGGTCTTGGGGTTGTGAGTTCAAGCCCCACATTGGGTGTCTATAGAGATAACTTTAAAAAAAAAAAGAAATCTTAAAAAAAACTTCTGTTTACAGACACACACAGAGACAGAGTTTAAAATCCAACAGTATAATGACCACATATATACCAATCATCCACCCACCTTTAAAAGGTAGGAAATTACTGGGGCGCCTGGGTGGCTCAGTCATTAAGCGTCTGCCTTCAGCTCAGGTCATGATCCCAGGGTCCTGGGATCAAGCCCCGCATCGGACTCCCTGCTCTGCGGGAAGCCTGCTTCTCCCTCTCCCACTCCCCCTGCTTGTGTTCCCTCTCTGTCTGTCAAATAAATAAATAAAATCTTTGAAAAAATTAAAAAATAAAAGATAGGAAATTACCAATGCATTCCAAGTTCTCCATGCCCTCCCTCTCCTGCCCCTGTGTCCCCAGAGGGAGCTACTATCCAGAATTTGGTTTTTCATTTCCTTGTTCTTCTTCTAAAACACTGTAGTTGAGCTTGCCTGTTTTTTGTCTTTATAAATAAATATATCAAATATACATATAAATATAAAGAGTTTATCTAGATGGAATCTTACCATGTGTACTATTTTGTAACTTGTTTTGTCCCCTTAACATGTTTATGGGGAAAAAAAAACACATGTTTATGGGCTGTGTATGGCTATAGTTTATTCATTTTCACTGCTGTAGAATATTCCTTTGTGGGAAGATAACCATGTTGATGACTAGTTGGGTGATTTTCAGTATACTGTTGCACACACAGCTGTGAGCATTTTTGTACCTCTGTCAGATATATTAAGAGTTTTCCTAGGCTGGGATTCCTGGTTCATAGGGTCTGCACATCAGTTTTACTGGATGACGCCAAGTAGTTTTACAAAGTGGTTGTTTCCAGTTTGCCATTCTGGTAGCTTTAAAATAGTTATTCACTATGGGGGAGGGGTGTGTGTTTGTGTGTTTGTGTGTCTGTGTGTGGTTTTGCTGTATTCTCCAATTTTTATTTTGAAAAAATTTCAAAACTACAGAACAGTTGCAGAAATAGTATATAATGACTCTCCCCTTCACTTCGATTCACCAGTTAACATTTTGCTACATTTGCTTTGTGTCTTACTTTACACATGTGTGGGCACTCACACACACATGTATTTTCTTTTTCTGAACTATGTGAGAGTTAGTTGTAGGTATCATTGCACTTTCCACCCATACCTAATTCAGCATGTATTTCCAAAGAACGAGGACATTCACTAATATAATCGAGGTACCACTATCACACTGGGGAAAGTTAACATTTCCTTGTTTACGTAAACATTACCTCATATGCAGTCCATATTCAGGTTTCCCCAACTGCCCCAATAATGTGCATTCCTTCAACAACTTTTTAATTTATTGTTTTAGCTTAGTGAATTAGTATAAGGCAAACTCCCTTGTGACCATCATCTAAGGACCAAAACCAGAACTTTGCCAGCCTTTCCCAGAACCCCCTCCATGTAGCCCACTCCAATTATAGCTCTCTCCCTCCATCCAAAATTACCTACTACCCTGACTTTTATAGTAATAACTTTCTTACTTTTCTTTACGGTTTTATCCCTGTCACTTTAGTTTTGCCTCTTATTATTTCTGACTTTATATGCCTTTTAAGTCTTCCCCTCTCTTTTTTTAAAGTCACTTTTAATCTATAGGTTCCCCTTCCATCTTTTTATTTTCCTTACAATGTATCTGTTAAAAGAAACTGGCATATTGGACCTCGAGAGTTTCCAGTGGTTTCGGCTTTGCTGATGGCACACTTCAGATGCAGTTGACCATGTTCCTCTCTTCTCTGCATTTCCTGCAGATTGCCAGCTGGATTCAGATGACTGATTGATGAGGTTTGTGTTTGATCCTTTTGGCAAGGCTGTAGGTCTACATAGGCATCTAAGTCTGGTTTTTACTTTGCTCTTTTGGTGTTAGCAGGTATTGATGCCCAGTGCCTAGACCCACTGATTCACTGGGGGTTAGAAAGTGGTTATATTCTACCTCTGTCATGTCATTTTTCACATATTAGCTGGAATACTTTAATAAGGAACCGCTTCCCCTCATCTATTGTTTAGTTACCCAGTTAGAGGAAAGACAGGATAAATGCTTTATTTTTTCTCTTATGTACCAGTTTTCAAAATAATGGATCAGTTCCCTCTCATCCTCAGAAGGTCACCAGTTAGTTATGAATTTGTAGATTTATACATATTTGGATTTGAACGTTTTATGATTCGTATTGCTTATTAAAATTCAGATCGTCTCACTTTGGCTAGTAGAAGTTGGCTTTGAGTCCTTTTCACATGACCCAAGTAGTCTGATGGTTTCCTCACTATCTGGCATGTCACAATGGTCTCAGAATTTCTCATTGTAGTTTTAATGTACATTTCCTTGATCACTAATGAGGTTGAGCATTTTCACATGTTTATTGGTTTCTTCTTGAACCGCCTACTCATGTCTTTTGGCCATTTCTTTGTGTGAGTAATGTGTTCCTTTCTTAATAATTTATAAGGGTTCTTTTTTTTTTTTCCTAGATGCTAATATTGTTGGTCACGTGTTGGCAGATGTCTTCTCCCAGTCTGAGGCTTGTCTTTTCAGTTTGGGTGTCTTTTGACGATCAGAAGTTCTTATCGTAGTTGGTTTTATTGATTTTTTTTTCCATTATGGTTTTCACTCTGAGTCTAGGAGCTTAATAAAAGCCTGGAACTATTTCCTGATTGTCCACTGCTGATCTGAAACCCTTTTGCAAGTATCAGCGCAACGTCTGAGTATCCAAGATGGATGCCAGTTGTGGGCGTGGAGCCCCAGGGTCACAGATGGCTCTTTCGGAGTTGTCCTATAATTAGCCAAACACAGCAGTGTGTCTCCGTAAATGGCACGTTTAGTTTTTAGTAGGTTTTAAAAAAATGTAACAAGTTACTATAAAAGAATTGTAGAATGACTGCTAAAGGCCAACAATAACTAAAAAGTAAAGCCTTAATAATTCTTTAAAGGGCAGGAAAATCCATGAAGAAATATAAACCTGTTACTAACGTGAAAACCCAGCAGAACTTCTAAAGCTGGGCTTTTAATAGTTGTGTTCAGGCCTTGCTGGCTCAGCAGGAAAATGAAAGGGAAGCGGCAGGCACCACCCTGAGTAAATATGCCCTGCTTTCTCTTCCTCCATTCCAAATTCCTCAGCTTGCTAAACACTCTCAAGTTTAGCTCTCAGTAAGTTACATGGTTTCACAATGGTCCTTTCTGATATTTCTGTCACAGACAGAGAAATACTGCATGATTCAACTTACATGAAGTATCCGAAATAGTCAAAATCAGGGAAGCAGAGAGTAGAATGGTGGTTGCCAGGGGCTGGGGGTGGGGAAGGGGAAGGGGATTGGGGGGTTACTGTTCAAGGGGTGTAAAGTCTCAGTCACGCAAGATGAATATGTTCTAGAGATCTCCTGTACAGCATTGTGCCTATAAGTCAACAGTACTGTATTGTACATTTAAAAATTTGTCTGGAGAGTCAGTCTCATGTTAAGTGTTCTTAACACAATAAAATAAAAATAAAAATAAGGATGGTGTGGTGGGTTTTTCATAAAGCTAAATTTGTTCTGAATTGGTGCCTTTTCTAGTGTCGGCTGTTTAAAAACTAAAGGTACTAGGCAATGATTTTTCTTTTTTTTTTTTTTAACATCATTGCGTAACAAAAAGTTAAAAATTCTGGGCAGGGGGAGCATCTCCTTTTTTGAAAGACATAAAGCTTTTGTATCAGAAAAGGTGGACCAGGGGCGCCTGGGTGGCTCAGTTGGTTAAGCGACTGCCTCCGGCTCAGGTCATGATCTCAAGGTCCTGGGATCAAGCCCTGCATCAGGCTCCCTGCTCGGCAGGAAGCCTGCTTCTCCCTTTCCCACTCCCCCTGCTTGTGTTCCCTCTCTCGCTGTCTCTCCCTCTGTCAAATAAATAAATAAAATCTTAAAAAAAAAGAAAAAGAAAAGGTGGACCAAGCAGAATGCAGCATAGCCTGGTGGCCAGGAGAGTGGACTCTGGGGTAGGTGCTCCAGGCTCCGCCCCGCTCCGCCCCACCCTGCCTCCACCTCCACCTCTTACAAGCTTGAAACCTGGGGAAATTGCTCCCGCACTCTGGGCAATGAGAGTAGGACCTCATGGGGCTGCTTTGAGGACGAAATGAGTTTATCCATGTAAGAAACATAAAATGGCCAGACTCTAGCACGTGACAGCCATGACAGATGTCATATGACACTGCATACTTTTGCTTCTGCTTGAGAAGATAACCTCTCCTGATGGGAAATGGAATAGTAGGGCTTATATCCATTAGTCAAGAGTCCTCCCACCAGTGTTTTAGTTTCCTATCCTGCCATAACAAATGACCACAAATTTACTGGCTGAAAGTAATACAAATTTATATTATCTTAGACCCCGTAGGTCAGAAGTCTGGTGCTAAATCAAGGTGTCAGCAGGGCTGCACTCCTTTCTGGCGGCTCCAGGGGAGAATCCGTTTCCCCCCTCATTCAGGTTGTTGACAGAATTCATTTCAGTTCCTTGTGGTTGTAGGGTCACGGTCTGTTTTGCTGGCTGCCAGCTGAGGGTTGTTCCTAGCTTCTAGAGGCTGCAGCTTTCCTTGGCTCATGGCCCTCTTCCTGCATCTTCAAAGCCAGCCACTGCAAGTTGAGTCCTTTTCATGTCCCATTTCTCTGACCCTATCTTTAGTCTCCCTCTTTGACTATCGGAACCCATGTAATAATACAAAATAATCTCCCTATTGGAAAGTCAGCTGATTAGCGGCCTGAACCTCCCTCCATGCTGCGGAAATTCACCTTTGCCATGTAAAGTAACATAGTCACAGTTTCCAGCATTAGGATGCAGACATTTTTGGGGGAGGCCTGATTCTGCTTACCATATCCAGTGAACTGGGATGTCATTGGGGTCTTTAACAGGTCATTTATCCTTACCTTTTATTTCTCCATCAAAAAGGTACATGATCTTCTACCTAGGATTAATAATGTTTATTGAGTGCTTGCTGTGAGCTTGGCCTTGGGTGCTAAACTCTTTGTTCACGGAGTCTGCGGCAGGTTCTATTATTCCCATTTTACAAACGAGGAAACTGCATTTGGGGAAGTTAAGTAACTGATCAAAATAATCAACTGGGGAGGGGCTCAGACATTTCAGTGGGCTAGTATACCTCAGAGGTTTGTCTGGAAATCCCTCTTCACATGGTAGTGCGTACTAATTGGAAGTAAATGTTTGAACTGAGACAAGTGTTTTTATTTTGCTAATAGAAATTATCATTCATGTTCATGGCTGTGGTAAGAAAATAAATTTTCTTCTATAGCCTAGCCAAGTTGACACATAAAACTAACCATCAGAGTGCAATTTAGCTTATTCCTCTAACCCTATATAGTCCAATATGGCAGCCAGCTATTGGGTACTTGTAATATAGCTAGTCTGAATTGAGGTGTGTGCTGTAAGTGTAAATTCACGCAAACTTAGAAGACATGGTACAAATAAAAAGAAGGTAAACTGTCATTATTGTTATACTGATCGTATGTTGAAATAATATTATTTTAGATATGTTGGGTTAAATAAAATGTATTAATTACTTTAAAAAACAATGAAACCAGGGCTCCTGGGTGATTCAGTTGGTTGAGCTCCTGACTCTTGATTTTGGCTCAGGTCATGGTCTCAGGGTCCTGGGATCGAGCCCTGTGTCGGGCTCCATGCTCAGCAGGGAGTCTGCTTGAGATTCTCTTCCCCCCCCTCTCTCTCTCTCTCTGCCCCTCCCCCTGCTCACACACACTCTCTCTCTAAAATAAAATAAATCTGAGAGTGGGCACCCCACCCACACACCCCTAAATAAATAAATCTTTAAAAAAAACCCAATGAAACCTGATAGGTATCAAAATTAAATTATAAGGAGAATCAGTTATAAAATATTTCAAATACAACTGTCTGAAAATGCAAAAAAAAGTTAATTTCTGGCTTGTACTAAATCACAATCTTTTGAAGTCAGAAAATGTTGTTTTTTTTTCTGAGATCATGGCAGTTTCTGCCAAGAGAAACCTGATTTATAATAGGGTGGATGGGCTCAATATTTCTTTAGTGAGGTATTTGACTGTCTTGTTTTATTATACTATAAGTGATACGTAAACAAACAAGAAAAATTTCCTAGCAACAGAGTTGTTTTCCTCAACCAGAAGAATATTTTATGTGCTCATTTTCTGAATGTCCAAAAGATAAAAAAGCTTATGAATTTAGCATCTTATATTTTTGAGATTGAGATGCTGGTGAGTATAGATAGTAAAATATATAGGAATATCACTAGAAGTACTTGGCAAGCATTACATTAAGGTAATTCACACCTAAAATATATTTAACTAGGTAGAGAACTATATGGTTTTTATGATAGACCCAATTGTCAGACATGGTTATCTCACTTACCTTCATAAATGAAGTCTCTTTTTTTTAATCTCTTTTGTTCTTCATTAATTACATACCCAAACTTTTTTTTTTACCCTCATCAGATCTCTAGGTTCTGAATAAACATTTCATTGTTTATTCAACAAATGTTTAAATACCATGTGCTAGGAGGTCCCTAGGGATATTGTGCCCTCACGAAGCTTATGTATTAGTAAATGATTCAGCTCACATATTAGTAAATGAGTGGAAGAATTCTACAAATCAGGAAGCACATGGGTGCTGTGAATGTGAACAGAAGGTTCTCATCTAAATCAAAGGACACGTGACGGGAAAGCCTTGATCTAGAGGATGAATAGCATTTAGTCAGGCAGAAAGTGGGATTGACCAGTCTTAGGTCAAGGGATACATTTTGCAAGTTCTCATCCTAGGAAAGAGCTTGGCAGGTTGGAAAAGCAACAGCAAGTAGGCCTGGGTGTGTGTGTGTGTCTGTGTGTCTGTGTGTGTGTGATTGTGGCTCTCAAGGAATACAGTAAGGCACACGGTACTGAGTCCTATAGGGCTCGGTTCAGAGCAACAAGTAGACATGGGTGTTATATGATGATCCGCCAAGCAATACACAGGGCCTTGTTTCCCAGAACTTCATCATCAAGTGGATGTGTTCTGGAGATAGGGTAACCATATAATTTATCATCCAAGTCAGGATATGCTTGAGAGTGAAAGGAGGTGCTGTTAATTATGCTGGGACAGTGGGTATAAACCAGTATAACTTGGGCATGCTGGGATGTATGATCACCATGCTTACAGACCAGTTTTCAGCCACTCCAGTAAGCCTGGAGTTGCCTAGAAACCATGCTCTGAAATTACAGGGTTAGTATATGTTCCTGCTTTCTCACTTTCCCCCCTCCATCACCCATGGATAACTCTTGGAGAAGGCCACCAGGGGAACCTGCAGCAAGTCTAGACCACGGAATCCCAGCCCCATTGCCCACTCACCTACAGCCTACTGTTTTCAGGTTGCCATCTCATGAGAGTTCACCCCCTTGATGGACATCAATTCTTATTAACATGTTTTCAGAATTATAGTATTGAAAACATACAGGAAGGAAAGTAAAGCCTTAAACATTTAGCACATGAACTTTTCCTACTAGAAACTTTCCTACATCACTTCTGGTAGATGAAATGACCTAATTATACATTCCCAGATGGTGGCCAGGCAGAATGGGTGTGGTCCAATTATAACCTCTTTCACAGTAAACATGTTTTGTGATTTAGCCCCTATGGTGGATGATACACAGAGAAGAACAGCTTTATTCTTTATTTTTATTTTTTTTTTAATTCTTTAGCAATGGCAGCAGCATAAAGTAGTAAAGAAATCTTTTCACTCTTGGATTTTTTATAGAATCAGCTGTTTGGCTGAATCTCTGTGGTGAGGATTAATGGGGCTTTAGTTCCTGCTCTCCTCTGTGCCTAAGTCACCGTCTACAGCAGGGCCCTTAGGGAGCCCTCGTAATTCCTTCAGTTAACTGAGAAATGGGTCAGGTTGCATTATAAGAATATTTAATGTTGTATTCAGCCAAATACTGAAGATGGGCACGCTGAGACATTCCAGTCTTTTTTTAGAAGTTTCACTATTTCTTTTTAAACTGTATTAATATTCTTAATTTTTGTTTTATAAGCCAGGAAATGTGAAGAATTCACCTGGAAATAAATAGAATGCTCCATGCTCTGCCCATTTTAATCAGGTAAAGAACAAGAGAATCTGTAGTCATTTTTAGCCTTGTTAGCACCAGCTGAAATGACTTGTCCTTAATTAACTTAATTAATTATAGCAGTTTCAGCTTCATGTAGATACATAAGGACCGGTATGATGTTTCATTCCATCTTTAATTTGTGGACTTAAGTGCCTTCACTTGTTTAATTGTGTTCATTCCTGAGAAGTACGTGGGTTTTTTAGACAAGCTAGAACTTGGCAGTTGTGATTTGTCTACAAAGCTATTTCAAACAGTTGAAAAGTGCCATTATTTCTTAGGTTTGTGTTTTTTTCAAATAAGACTTTACTATAATAGGCACCCTTGTATTCATCTGATAGTCATTAAATAAACATTTGTTGAATGAGTGATGGTTGTAGAGAAGCTCAAGATTATATAGAAATATTATTATAAGTGCCATAGGGAATTCATAGGTGTAATTATTCTTTCTTTAAAGATTGAGTAACCTGAGGCTAGAGAAATTTAGGATACCAGATGAAGTCCGAAAATCAGTGTGATTTCTTCTGCTCATATACTCAATTCACTATCTTCATTCATTTGTTCAGTATTTACTCATGAATACCAGCTAAGTATAAAACAGTAGTTATATTAATGTTTGTGTATATATGAAAAATTATATAATAGCACTTGTGATTTCCTGATAAGATTATAATGAGTTTGGAAACAATTAAATATTTAGCTACAAAAAGTGGCTTAATTCTGGTATATCCATGAAGAGGAATGTTATATATGTTTCAGTAATATTTAATTGCATGGAAGCTTGTTAAATGAAAAATAAAGGTAGTATGGTACATTTTTAGAGAGGATAAAGACCAGGAAATACAACAAAAAATTTAAGTATGTATCTTAATTATGGATGTTTTTTATAGTTTTTCTTCTATATAACTTTCTATATTTTAAAATATTCTGCAGTGAATATGAATTTTCTTTTATAGTCTTTTTTTTTTAAATCACTGCTACACTTATTGTAAATCATGGCTGCTATTTACAATCCATGAAAGCCCTCAGTGTGAGGTTTTTCTTTGTCTAGCTGTCTCCATATTTTTAGAGATGCAGAGAGTCATATAGTCTTAGAATTTGAGAGGGGTCCTCTGGCCCCCCAGCCAGCCTCAAGCATAAATACCCTGTAGCTCTGTGTGTTCTCACTTTTCATCCTCACTGATAGGCACCTTACCCCACAGGGCAGCCATCTTTGGATGGTTCTGATTTTTAGGAAGCTGTTTCTTTTTTTTTTTTTTTTAAGATTTTATTTATTTATTTGAGAGCGAGAATGAGAGAGAGAGAGAGAGCATGAGAGGGGGAGGGTCAGAGGGAGCAGCAGACTCCCTGCCGAGCAGGGAGCCCGATGCGGGACTCGATCCCGGGACTCCAGGATCATGACCTGAGCCGAAGGCAGTCGCTTAACCAACTGAGCCACCCAGGCGCCCCTGGAAGCTGTTTCTTATACTAGGCAAAAATATGTCTTTTTGTAACTCCTATGCAATGGTTCTGATCCTGCCTTAGGGGTCACAGAAAACAAACCCAGATCCTCTTTCACATCTCAGCCCTTCATATGGTAACCCCCAGTTGTACTTCTCAAATTTTATTATACAAACAAATTACCACAGGAGCTTGTTAAAAGACAGAGGCCTAAGCCCCACCCCAGAATCAGCATCTCTGGAGAGCCGGGCCAGAAGTGTACTGGATGGATCTGCTATTGGAAGAGAGACTAGAACGTGAGCAGCCAGGAAACCACATATGTCCTCCAGAAACTTGACACTGAATATATTATGTTTCTCTGCAGGGACAATGAGACTTGGAATACAGGGAAACTACGTAAATATCTATTTCATCTTTCCAAAATACTCTGGGCCAGAGTTCAGCTTACTGTATATACAACCTTGATTTCATTCTTTACTTTTTTACTTCTCTATTGGAGATGGAGTTTTCAATTATAAAAGTGATACATATTTGTTGTAAAGGAATTTTTTTATGGGTGCCTGGGTGGCTCAGTTGGTTAAGCAGCTGACTTTGGCTCAGGTTGTGATCTCAGGGTCCTGGGATCCAATCAGGCCCCGCATCAGGCTCCCTGCTCAGCGAGGAGTCTGCTTCTCCCTCTCCCTCTGCCCCTCCCACCACTCGTGCTCTCTCTTTCTCAAATAATAAAATCTTTTTAAAAAGAAATTTTTTTAGATAAGTGTTTTTAGTTTATCTGGTTCTCTATTCCTTTTCCATGGTTAATTTCTGTTAGTAGTTTGACATTACCATTCCAGACATTTTTCTCTGTGTGTGAATGTGTGCACATCCATACCTTCTTTCGGTTTTTTGACAGAATGAGCTCATATTCCTTGAATTGTTTTGCAAGTACACTGAAACCTCCATGAGGGAACACATCTCAATTTTATTATTACACCTAAAGAAATTAACACTAATTGTTTAATATCATTTCATATTTAGGTAGTATGCAGATTTCCCTGATTGTCTTTTTGCATTTGGTTTATTTGAATCAGGATCCAAACAGGATCTGCCCATTACATTTGACTGATAGGTCCCTGAAGTCCCTTTTAAACTGTCATAGTTCGTTCTCCTTCATTTTTCCCTTGCCATTCATGTTTTGAAAAACAGGCCTATTTATCCTTTAGAAGATACCACATTCTGGCTGTGGCTGAGTACATCCATTTAGTGTCATTCTATTGATCTCTTGGTTCCTCTCTTCTCTCCATTTCCCATAAAATGATAGTTAGACCTGAAGGCTCCATCATATTGAGGTTCAGTTTCGGTAAGAATACTTCATAGTGCTGTGTTTAGCTGTGTTGAACGAATGAAATAACTTGCCTTTTTTCGCTTAATATATTATGTGCATCTTTTTCTCTTAGTACTTAGAGATCTGTCTCATTCCTCCTCTTAGCTGCTTAATAATTTCCTAGTATGGACTACTGTGGCCTATTGAATCCTTATCAAAATAGGTTTCCAGTTTGCAGTTTTAACAATGTAGTAAATGTGTTGAATTCTTAGAGAAGTCCAAAACAGATTAATAAACTGAAATGGAAAAAGTAAGCTAGAGGTTTACGTCTTTAACTTAAGAAGTTTGGTTTTATATTAAAAGATATATTTGTATCTAAAAGTATATCTCTAAAATACTTATGAACCTCCAATTGCTAAGTAGATTCATTACATACTGGGAAGAAAGCAATCTGGAGAAGAATCCATTTGTCTTTGGTGTGTCTTTGGATGATGTGTGTTCCATTCCAGAGAAGAATAGTGGGGTGGTATGAGGGAAGGTATACGTCAGACCTGACGGTGATATAATCATGCTCTCCTTCAGCAGATGGACAGAAATGTAGTTGTTTGGTTTTTCAGAAGGGGAGAGATGTGGTGTGTGCTATGCTGTTTAAGCATTTTTTATTTATTCATCCATCCATCCATCCGTTTAATTATGCTCAGGTACACAGCCAGTTGAGAATCTGAATGTAACACAAAATGAATGAAACACAAAACCTTTCTGCTTTGTGGTTTAAGTGTCTGTAAAACAGAAATAATTACAGTTTTTTTCTGGTGCATGATGATCCTTATGGTCATAATAGTAATGTAAATATTTGATAGGGTTTCTCAGTTTAACCCTAATGAATTTTCAAAAAGCAAAGTTTTAGAGTTTCTCTTTTTCTCCCTGGCAGTTTGCTTATGGTTTTCTTTTTCTTTTAGTTATAGGTAAACATTGGAAACTCCATGCAGTAAACCAGTATTTCTACAGAAAAATGGCAGAGAAGTCAGTACTGAATATAGTAAATTGGCTTTCTTCTTCAGGACAAACTATACTAGGCTTCTTTGTTATCTTGGGTGATGCCATACTGCAAGTGGACTAATCGGAAATCCTTTCACCTAGAGATAATGTCTAGCCTTAGAACTCCTCGTTCTCAAGTTGCTATTTATGTACATAATTAAAATTCCAAATTAAAAAAAAAGTTGTTCTGCTTTTTTTTAATATTACTGAGTGACAGTTTAAGCGTACCTGGTGCCCATGTGTGCGGTGTGCGTGGTTGTATGTGTGGTATGTCTCTCTGAGTGTACGTGTGTGTGTGTTGAAACCGGTAACCCCCCTCAGAGCAGTAACAGCTGGCAGTCTGCACAGTGCAAGCCCCACAAGAGTTGAGTCAAGCCGAGTGGCTCTAGAGCTGAGAGACGAGGCTTCACCGGCCAGCCCGAGAACGTACCTTGTAAGTAGTAGCTGGCCTGACAGTGATTAGAAGACATACAGAAGAAAACAGTAACTGACCCCTTGTTGTGTTCCCTTGCCTCCCAGCTTCCACAGATCTTCCCCTCCTTGAAGGCCAGTGGAAGATGCATAATGAAGCAGTCTGTCCTCGGCTGGTGGAGGAATGGTATGTGGTCGTGTGTGTTGGTTCTTTGTGTGTCAGCCTTGTATTCACTTTTGTGGCCCCTGAATGCACAGCTTATTGAACTTTGTATTTGCAGTGCTGATGGGAACAGCAGGAGCCCCTTTTGACATCAGCCAGCGAGGGAGGATGGCAGGGGAACAGCGTGTGAAAGGGAATTGAGAATTTCCAAACTGCAGTCAGATTGGAAATTAAAAGTTGTCTTTGCATTCTTGTAGTGTCAATTTAATTCCGGATTGTTGACCTTCCACATCTGATGGCATTTGGGAAGATAGCACGGCACAAATGGAACGTGCTCATGTTAACGTTCAGTACATTTGATAGAGCCAAAATGGCCGAGAATGTTGCCAGCATTATCACCGGTCTAATGAGCTGAAGCAAATTTGTCCCTAGAGTAATCCCCGTAGTGACCCAGAAGTCTATTTCCTTTTTTGCGGAAATACTTTTGTGTTACTGTACCAGTCATCCAAATACATTAAAGCTGTGCCCTAAATTTAATATCTCATAAATATACTATTATTATTTCAGGCTTTTCCCATTGGCTTCGCTTCCTTTATCACCCCCAGAAAGTAGAAACTCCACAAGTTTCCTTGTTCCTGAGATTGCTTGATCTAGAGAAGATGAAGAAATGGCTCTTGAGGTCATTAATCAAAAGGTATTTGAGTGCCTCCTAACTGTAAGATATTACTTCCCATTTTTAACGGTTTAGTTGGTATTGAAACATTGCCTTAAAACCTCTTAAATTCTCCAAGGGGATCGGTGGGGTGGGGGTCACAGAGCCGGCTTGGACTAGTATGTGGCCTGTATCTAGGACAGCAAGGTCATCACTTTCCAACCAGGCTAACTCAGTCACTCTTTATACTATGGTCCTTTTCTTCTGTGGTGATTTGTATCCAGTGCTGCCTGCCTTTTACATTTATCACTATTTGCTTGCCTTCCATGAACACTGAACTGTAGGGAATAAAACATTTGCATATTGTAAGTTCTTGCATTTCTCCAGCTCTTTATACTTTTCACAGTGCTAGTTTATATCTTTCCTTTCTTGGCTATTCCTGACCTCAGTATGTTTGTACTCTGTTTTTCTCTGTCCTGAGGTAATACTTTCTACTTAGGTTTATACTTTTTATTCTGTGTTTTGATGACCAGTTCCCCTTATGATAAAACTGAGACTCTCAATTCAGATTATCTGTAAGTTAATCAGCACAGTTCTATTTGAATAACTCTAGAGACTTTGGAGGGAATGTTCTCTACCATACAGAGTGATTTAAGGTGCTCTGAAGAGACAAACGTGGTGTGGTCTGTTCTGTGATAATGTGGTAGTTGGAGTCCTAAGAAAGATTGCTTTATCACAAATCAAGATTGTAAAGCAATTGTTTCAATGGGGAAAAAGGGACCAGAGATGCTAAAGAATGCCTTCATCAATCTTATCACCTGTGTTGCCGCTTGGGACAAAATCAAAACAATAGTAGTAGATAGAAGAACTAAGGTGAGCTGAGGGACCACCCACCTTGGCGGTACAGTAGCAGGTACCTGGGCCACTGGGTTAGCAGCTTTTATGGTAAATGTACTGCTGGATCCCAGCTGACAGTTGGCCCCTGTACTGCAAAGTACTTCCCCAGTGGATCAATGACATTAGATTCAAGTGGCCTAAAGGAGATTCAAAATAAGGTAAAATGCTTCTATTCCCATATACAGATGAAATAATGTGACTTGTTTGTGGTTAAATAGCCAGCCAATGACAGTTAAAATTAGGCCATGTAGGGGCGCCTGGGTGGCTCAGTCGTTAAGCGTCTGCCTTCGGCTCAGGTCATGATCCCAGGGTCCTGGGATCGAGCCCCGCATCGGGCTCCCTG